ATTCTTTCTTTTGTTTGTGTAGCCTAGTATGATGCTTCCCTTTTGGCTATAAATAGGTAGCCAATGTCTTGTAATAAAGATAGATTTTGATATGAATAAAATTTGAGTTTCTCTCATGTGTTTCCTGTATCCTAAGAGTGATTCTTAGGTGGTGGATCTTTCCTCCAAGAAGTTCTTGGAGCGGTGTCCGGCGACCGTCACCGGATTGTCGACGTGGATTCGTCGAGCCCCCTACCTGGCCGGTGTCACATAAACAATCAGTTTCACATTTTGCTGCAATATACATCTCAGACCCTTCAATGAAGCATTACTATATACCTGAATGTAGGTCCATCATAGGACGCATGACTGTTTTTTTCCTGCTGCATGTTGTTATGTGGAAAATTTTCAGTTGAAATTTAATCTTTAATCTTATTTAGAGATTTAATCATTAATAATGTTTACAATTTCAATTTCAACTTTATTGCCTATCTAATATATTTTCCTCTTCTGATGTTAATGCACTTGGAAATTACAATACATATTTCTACGTTTTGCAGTTTCACTTTTGAGATCTTATATTCAAATATCTACCTCACTGGAGCTATCAAGCTGCATTTTTATTACTTTCTTGTCTTGCAGAAAAGAAAATGAGCATCATTAAGTTTCCAAGACAATGTTTTTTTCCTTAGAAACCTTGCCCTCTCTCTTAGTTGTGGTGTTTGTAAGGGATCATTGGCCTCATACCGTTTTCTTTTATGTATCAGTGAGCAGCAGCCCCTGCGGTTAAATCCTGCTGAAATTAGTGAAGTCATTGCTGAAGCTTGCTCAGAAACGTCTTTGACGGCTGTTAATTTGACTATATCATCTCCTCTGGCTAAGCATAACGCACGGCCTGTTGCAGAAGTTGCAATTAGCGTCCTCATAAAACTTGTTATTGACATGTATGTTCCGTAGACCTAATCATACGTCATCTCATGAAGTCTTCTTAAATCACTTATTGTCTTTCATGCTTTTTGTGAATTTGTCCATGATTTAGATTGACAGCATTGTACAGCACATTATTCTTATTGTTATATCCATTTCAGGTTGCATTTTCTCTTCTTATTTCTCTAAGTCAATAACTATTGATGTGAGCTTAAAGAGATTCAATAATTTGTTACCACAGAATGTATTTTAAAAAGTGTTTTTAAGTAGCTGGTGTTTCTGAAGTTTTTTACTGGAAAAGTATTTCATTTTATAAGTTATCAGGATGAAGGAATACATTTTTTGTTGAATTAAAATTTTGAATAGCTATTTTTGTTGCCACATGTTAGATTTTATTGCAGTATTTTTATGTCTGAGAATCTCTTCTGTTAATTCACATTGGATAGGTATCCTTTAGCAATAGCGTTCAAAATTTTTCTCATTTTCCTCGTGATATTTATGTTGGCTGTTGAGCTTGTAATGTTCATATCTGTTTGTTATTCATGTTATGGATGAATGTTTGTTTGTTAAAATCTTGTATTGCTAGAAATTTTATTTGTTATCCTCAGAAGTGACTTGACATAATAAAATACTCAAAAATTAACTTCCAACTTGTGCTTTGCTATGATAGCGATTCTCCATTGCAGATATGGTTCTATATAGAATTATCATGGAAGCATCAATGATGCGGACATCGGCACGAAGATTTGACGCATCTATCACAGGAGGCGTCGTAAATCGACGGCTCTAATTTAAATTGTCATTTATGAGTCATTTTATGAATTGTAGCTCTTATTTTATCCTATTTCCTGTTTTATCCCTAGGATAGTTTATGTGAGTGTTATGGCCCAAGGGACAATTTTGTAATTTTTGATTTTCTCATGTTGTGGCCTATATATAGGGCCTTTAGTTATTGTAATGGGGATGAATTATTGATATGAAAAATTGTTTTCCACACTTGTGTTCTTCTTGTGAGAGAGCATTAGTGGGATTCCTATGGAGAGGAATCAGAGTCTTCACCAGCCGCAGGATGGGTCTGGGCTCGTGAATTGAAGTCCATTGGAGAAGAGCAAAGCATCACCCGTCAGTCGTCGGAAGAGTCCGAGGCTCGCGGTTTTTATTTTCTCTCTTTCGTTTTATCATTTATCTTTGGGTTTTGTTTTCTTTGTTCCGTCTTTGTATTCTTCGACTTATTGCTCCTAGTAGTCATATTTTCCTCTCCCTCAACTTCACGGCCAAACACCCCTCATACCGCCGGCCACCCGTGTTTGTATCCATGAATGAGTAGTCAATGTCATCTTAAAGCTTACCTAAAGAGTTCAAATAATTTAGGAAATTATTTTCATCATTTGAAATTCAAATTTTGAATTTCAAATAGTTTCCTAAATTAGAAAGCTATTTTCAGAAAGTATTGATCTCATTCATGATCTAATTCAAACCTAATTTGGGTGATTAAATTTTGGGCAGTTTTCAAAATTCAAATTCAACTAATTTGAAATTTGAATTCTTTCCTAATTTATCATTCCGGTTTTGAAAAGTTACTAAATGAATTTTATTTGAATTTGAATAGGGTTTAATTATCTCTTTCCTAAACTCCACCCCCAATTGAGTAATCACAATTAAATGCATTAAAACCCCTATTCCCCCTTGCATGCCGCCGGCCCACCTCAACTCCACCTTGGCATTAATTAACATTTATTCCTTGGCAATATTTCGAAATCTGAGAACTTTGTTTGACCGAAAATTCCAAGCCTTTATTCACTTTCCAAATTATGTAGAGGAAATTAGGAATTAATGCTATATTTCACCTCCTCATTCCCGTAACTCCCCACTGGCCGAATTCTCCTTGACTTTATTTCCTATTTTTATTTCCCTGACTCATTCCACGAGATTAAGGAATTGATTTCCCCACGAGATTAAGGAATTGATTTCCTTTTGGGCTTGATTTTCCAGCAACCTGAAACTCAAGCCTTTAATTACTTCCCTAGGCTGAGAGTGGAATAAGGAAATAAATTCCTTAATTCTCTCTACATCCCGCCGTTCCCCCCCTCCTCACTAATCTTACCAAAATCTGTCCAGATTTTCTTTATTTCTCTTTGGGAAAGAATTCCAAAATCTGAGAATTCCAAAATCTGAGATTTTTTTAACTCCACGAACAGCTCTTGGAAATATTTCCCCTGACTCCTCTCTACATCCAGCCGTTCCCTCCCTTCACTGAATTATTCCTAGAGTCTACCCAGAATTTTGTGTTTCTCTTTACTTTAAAATCTGAGAAGTTCCTCTCAGATTTTGGGAGAAAAATCTGAACTGTTTCAGATTTCTGGAAAGAAGTTGTTCTGATTTTTGGGAGGTTTTGGGACAAGGAAATTTCTCAGAATTTTTTTTTGGTGAAATCTGAACTTGCTCTCAGATTTTGGAGAAGAGATCCATTCTTTAACAATCCCCCGCTCCCGTTCTACATCAGTTTGGTATCAGAGCATGGACTCGGATCGAATTGGAAGGACTCTAAACTGGGTGGCAGGTCAACTGGGCACCATTAATCAACATCTCAAGGAGAATCAAGCGGACTTAGCCGACTTCCACCGTCAAACAATCAAACGACTCGATAACCTAGTGCGAGGTAGGACTGACTATTTGCTTTACACACCTGCAAGATCCCCTTCCTCAAAGGATAGAAAAAGGGCACTAAGAGACAGAGAGATAAGGGATAGAGTGGACAAATGGATGGAGGCCAATGAAGCTTTCAATTTCCCAACAACTGTGCAAATCAAAGAGGAACATAAGGCGATCAAGGAAGAACATGAAGAAGAAGATGAATTGGTTGACAAGGAGGAATGCGTGACTGCAAATAATACAAAGGGATATTTGGTTGATTCAATTGCAACTCCTACAGAAGCAAAGGTTTCTCCTTACCCAGTTAAAACTGCTATAACGGAGAATGTGGATGAAGCTCTGGAAGTGACATCCATAATTGGCGAGCTAAAGTGCAACAAGCAAGTTGACCTTGTGGGCAACCAGGGTTGTTTGAAAATCATTGCAAAAAGGCCATTGGGTGTAGTGCTTCCAAATAACAATCCAGAGTTGTACATGGGCAGTTGTGATGCTTACTCGATGGAGTCGAGTATTCTCCCACCTGGGGAGAATGATGCGGACATCGGCACGAAGATTTGGCGCATCTATCACAGGAGACATCATAAATCGACGGCTCTAATTTAATTGTCATTTATGATTTATTTTATGAATTGTAGCTCTTATTTTATCCTATTTCCTGTTTTACCCCTAGGATAGTTTATGTGAGTGTTATGGCCCAAGGGGCAATTTTGTAATTTTTGATTTTCTCATGTTGTGACCTATATATAGGGCATTTAGCTATTGTAATGGGGATGAATTATTGATATGAAAAATTATTTTCCACACTTGTGTTCTTTCTTGTGAGAGAGCGTTGGTTCGGAGTTTTCACTAGCCGCAGGATGGGTCCAGGCTCGTAAATTGAAGTCCCTTGGAGAAGGGCAAAGCATCACTCGTCAGTCGTCGGAAGAGTCCGAGGCTCGTGGTTTTTATTTTCTCTCTTTCATTTTATCTTTTATCTTTGAGTTTTGTTTTCTTTGTTCCGTCTTTGTATTCCTCGTCATATTGCTCCTAGTAGTTATCTTTTCCTCTCCCTCAACTTCACGGCCAAACACCCCTCATACCGCCGGCCCAATCTCTAGCCACCGGCCACCATCCACCTTTCCCCATTAGCTCCTCCACCGCCGGCCACCCGTGTTTGTATCCATGAATGAGTAGTCAATGTCATCTTAAAGCTTACCTAAATAGTTCAAATAATTTAGGAAATTATTTTCATCATTTGAAATTCAAAATTTGAATTTCAAATAGTTTCCTAAATTAGAAAGCTATTTTAGGAAAGTATTGAATCTCATTCATGATCTAGTTCAAACTTAATTTGGGTGATTAAATTTTGGGCAGTTTTCAAAATTCAAATTTAACTAATTTGAAATTTGAATTCTTTCCTAATTTATAATTCCGATTTTGGAAAGTTACTAAATGAATTTTATTTGAATTTCAAATTCAAATAGGGTTTAATTATCTCTTTCCTAAACTCCACCCCTAATTGAGTAATCACAATTAAATGCATTAAAACCACTATTCCCCCTTGCATGCCGCCGGCCCACCTCAACTTCACCTTGGCATTAATTAACATTTATTCCTTTGCAATATTTCGAAATCTGAGAACTTTGTTTGACCGAAAATTCCAAGCCTTTATTCACTTTTCAAATTCTGTAGAGGAAATTAGGAATTAATGCTATATTTCACCTCCTCATTCCCGTAACTCTGGCCGAATTCTCCCTGACTTTATTTCCTATTTTTATTTCCCTGACTCATTCCACGGGATTAAGGAATTGATTTCCTTTTGGGCTTGATTTTCCAGCAACCTGAAACTCAAGCCTTTAATTACTTCCCTAGGCTGAGAGTGGAATAAGGAAATAAATTCCTTAATTCTCTCTACATCCTGTCGTTCCCCCCCCCTCACTGATCTTACCAAAATCTGTCCAGATTTTCTTTATTTCTCTTTGGGAAAGAATTCCAAAATCTGAGAATTCCAAAATCTGAGATTTTTCTAACTCCACGTAACAGCTCTTGGAAATATTTCCCCTGACTCCTCTCTACATCCAGCCGTTCCCTCCCTTCACTGAATTATTCCTAGAGTCTACCCAGGCTTTTGTGTTTCTCTTTACTGAAAAATCTGAGAAGTTCCTCTCAGATTTTGGGTGAAAAATCTGAACTGTTTCAGATTTCCGGAAAGGAGTTGTTTCAGATTTTTGGGAGATTTTGGGACAAGGAAATTTCTCAGATTTTTTTTTTGGTGAAAGCTGAACTTGCTCTCAGATTTTGGAGAAGAGATCCATTCTTTAGCAATCCCCCGCTCCCGTTCTACATCAATCAATTAGTGGAATATGAAATGCTGGGATTTGCTCTC